TATCTATAGTCCTAGGTTGGTACTTCTTCTGCACCATTCCGCAGTACTGCAGCAGCACTGCCACGTAAAAAATCCAAACTTATAAGATTGTAGGGCTTATTAGGGGCTTAGGGGTTCAAGATCCAGGGCCTAGTTTTGCCGGTACTTCTGCAGCACCGCAAAGTGGTACTTGAACAGCACCACCCCGTATACAATTATACTGAGAAGGAACCCTTAAACTTAGATCCCTACAAGTAATAAGGGTTTATGGCTCATGGGTTGAGGGCGATAATTTTTTAATTTTTTTGGGCCCGCTATTTAACCCTAAGGTTTTAATTAGGGTTTAGGGTTTAGGGTTTAGGGTTCAGGGTTTGTTTTTTGGGGTTTAGGGGTTTAGGGATGCTGGCTTCTGGCTACAGTTAGGGCTGCTTCCCTCCCAGTAGCTTCAGGAGAACAAAAAGACACGGAGAACGCCCACAAACACCACCGAGGCAGCTGTTCCTCGATACAGCCGAAAAAAAAACAGAGGCAAAAAAGACACAGGTAACGCAAAATAAAAAGACACAGATAACGCAAAAAAAAAGACACGGATCACCCCCTTTCCGTCTTGCAGACCTATTTTGGATATTACATATGGACAGTATATACTATGAGTGTGATTCTATATAGGACTGCAAGACAGCAAGACTGAAAACTGCTCACAAACGCGTGAATTTCTAATTAGTAATTCAGAAACAGCTGCTCCTCACCATACAGAGCTTTAGGCCCTATAAGCCCTAAACCTGAAACCCCGTTTATAATTCGGCACTAGGGCTTCAGTTCAATGTATTATCGAGCCTTTCATCAAAAAGAGAGAGAGAGAGAGAGAGAAGGGTCTTAGGGTTTTAAACCCTCAACCCCAAACCAAAACCCTAAGTTTAAACCCATTCTTATGTGGGGACACTAGGGTTTTGGTTTAGGGCGCCGGAAAGACAACTGGTTGTACTACTACTTTTACTACTACTCTAAACCCTAAACCTAAACACCGAATTAAAACCCTGCTTATGTTGGGACACGAGGGTTTCGGCTTAGGCGCCAGAAAGACAATTGGTGGTACTGCTACTCGTATTCCTACCCTAAACCCTAACCTAAACCCCCAAATGTAGACCCTTTTTTTAGGTTGGGACACTAGGGTTTTGGTTTAGGATGCCAGAAAGGCAACTGGTGGTACTGGTACGACTACGACAACCCTAAACCCGAACCTAAACCCTGCAAATTTAAGCTCTTTTTATGTTGGGACACTAGGGTTTCGGTTTCGGGCGCAAGAAAGACAGCCGATGGTACTGCTACTTTGCTGCTACTCCTCCTCCTCCTCCTGCTGCTGCTGCTGCTAATGCTGCATGATGGTCTTGTTTGGGCGTCGTTGTGTTTTGGTTGTTTCGGCGACGTCTTCCTCATCATCAGCGTGGCCCCTGGATTCCCGAAGCCCCTCCCTCCAAGATTTTTCTTGTCATCATCAGCGTGGCCCCTGGATTCCCGAAGCCCGTTTGGCAGCGAACCGGCCCAAAGCGAGTCGGGAATCTACCTCTAGATTCCCGACTCGCTTTGGACCGGGTGGAACTTCCAGAAGTCCCTTTGGGCCACGTCGGTCCAAAGGGACTTCTGGAAGTTCCACCCGGTCCAAAGCGAGTCGGGAATCTAGAGGTAGATTCCCGACTCGCTTTGGGCCGGTTCGCTGCCAAACGGGCTTCGGGAATCCAGGGGCCACGCTGATGATGACAAGAAAAATCTTGGAGGGTGGGGCTTCGGGAATCCAGGGGCCACGCTGATGATGAGGAAGACGTCGCCGAAACAACAAAAACACAACGACGCCCAAACAAGACCATCATGCAGCATTAGCAGCAGCAGCAGCAGGAGGAGGAGGAGGAGGAGTAGTAGCAGTACCATCGGTTGTTTTCTTGTGCCCGAAACCGAAACCCTAGTGTCCCAACATAAAAAGAGGCTAAATTTTCAAGGTTTAGGTGGAAGACAACTGGCACCCTAAACCAAAACCCTAGTGTCCCAACCTAAAAAAAGGGTCTACATTTGGGGGTTTAGGTTAGGGTTTAGGGTAGGAATACGAGTAGCAGTACCACCAATTGTCTTTCTGGCGCCTAAGCCGAAACCCTCGCGTCCCAACATAAGCAGGGTTTTAATTCGGTGTTTAGGTTTAGGGTTTAGAGTAGTAGTAAAAGTAGTAGTACCACCAGTTGTCTTTCCGGCGCCCTAAACCAAAACCCTAGTGTCCCCACATAAGAATGGGTTTAAATTTAGGGTTTTGGTTTAGGGTTGAGGGTTTAAAACCCTAAGACCCTTTTCTCTCTCTCTCTCTCTCTCTCTCTCTTTTTGATGAAAGGCTCGATACTACATTGAACTGAAGCCCTAGTGCCGAATTATAAACGGGGTTTCAGGTTTAGGGATTATAGGGCCTAAAGCTCTGTATGGTGAGGAGCAGCTGTTTCTGAATTGCTATGTGAGCAGTTTGCAGTCTTGCTATCTTGCAGTCCTATATAGAATCACACTCATAGTATATACTGTCGTTTTTTTCTCGCGTTATCTGTGTCTTTTATTTTGCGTTACCTGTGTCTTTTTTGCCTCTGTTTTTTTTCGGCTGTATCGAGGAACAGCTGCCTCGGTGGTGTTTGCGGGCGTTATCCGTGTCTTGTTGTTCTCCTGAAGCTACTGGGAGGGAAGTAGCCCTAACTGTAGCCAGAAGCCAGCATCCCTAAACCCCTAAACCCCAAACAACAAACCCTGAACCCTAAACCCTAAACCCTAATTAAAACCTAAACCCCAAACCCCAAACACGCTGAAGCCGAACCTTACACATTGGCTTCCTCCCAGATACCAGGAAGCCCTCAACCCTCAACCCTCAACCCTCAACCCTCAACCCTAAACCCTAAACCTTAATCGAAAACCCGAAGCCCTCTACCCTAAACCCAAAGAACCCTAACCCCCAACCCCTAAACCCTAAGCGCCTGAACCCCTCAACCCCTAAACCCTAAACCCAAAACCCACGACCCTAAACCCTCAACCCGAAACACCCCCAAAACAAAACCTAAACCCTAAACCCTAAACCTTAAACCCTAAACCCTAATTAAACCCTAAACCCTAGACACCCTAAAGTCCAACCTTACACCCTAAACCCTAAACCCTTATTAAACCCTAAACCCTAAACCCTAAAGTCCAACCTTACACATTGGCTTCCTCCCAGATACCAGGGAGCCCTCAACCCTAAACCCTAAACCCTAAACCCCAGACCCTAAACCCTAAACCCTAAAAACCCTAAACCCCAGACCCTAAACCCTAAACACCCTAACCCCCAAGCGAAACCCCCGAAACATTAAACCCTAAACCCTAATTAAACGCTAAACCCTAAACCCTAAACACCCTAAAGTCCAACCTTACACCCTAAGACCTAAACCAAACCCTAAACCCTAAACCCTACTTAAACCCTAAACCCTGAACCCCCAAACAACCTTAAGCCCAACCTTATACCCTAAACCCTAAACCAACACAACCCTAAACCTAACCCTAAACCCTAAAAACACTAAACCCTAAACCTAAAACCCTAAACCCTATACCCTGAACCCTAAAAACCCTAACCCCCAACCCCCAAACCCTAAACGCTTAAACCCCTAAACCCCTAAACCCTAAACCCTAAACCGCACGACCCTCGACCCGAACCCCCCCCCCCCCCCAAAAAAAAAAAAAAAAAAAACAAACCCCAAACCCTAAATCTTGAAACCTAAACCCTAAACCCTGAACCCTAATTAAACCCTAAATCCGAAACCCTAAACACCCTAAAGCCCAACCTTACACCCTAAACCCCAAACCTTAAAAAACACAACCCTAAACCCCAAAACCCTAGACCCTAAACCCGAAACCCTAAAATCCCTGAACACCCTAAACCCCAAAACCCTAAACCCTGAACCCTAATTAAACCCTAAACCGTATACCCTAAACACCCTAAAGCCCAACCTTCACACCCAAACCCTAAACCCTAAAACATACAACCCTAAACCCTAAAACCCTATACCCTAAGCCCTAAATCCCTAAACCCTAAAAACCCTAAACCCTAAACCTAAAACCCTATACCCTAAACCCTACAAACCCTACCCCCCAAACCGACCCCAAAACACCTAAACCCTAAACCTAAAACCCACGACCCTAAACCCTAAACCCTAAGCACCCAGAACAAACCCTAACCCACGACCCTAAACCCTAAACCCTAAACCCTAGACCCTAAACCCTAAACCCTAAACCCTAAACCCTAAACCCTAACCCCCCAAAACAAAACCCTGACCCCTACCCCTACAAAAACCCTAAACCCTAAGCCCTGACCCCTAAACCCTAAACCCTATCCAAACCCCTAAACCCTAAGCCTAAACCCCAAACCCGGAAAAAGACGCAGATTACGCTTCAAAAAAAAGACGCAGATAACCCTCTGTGGAAGCCAAAAGTGTGATGCCCTGCAGGAAAACCACCCTAAAAAACACGCAGATATCCCAGAACAAAAAGACGCAGACAACCCAAAACTAAAGACGCAGATAACCTTAAAAAAAAAAAAGACGCGGATAACATCTGCTCCTGCAAAAGACGGCCAGACTGTGCTAGGGAGAGGGGTTTGGCTTTGAAGTTTGATTTCAGGGTTTTGGGGCTAGGTCTAGGGTTCTGTGGTCAGGGAGTGGTTTAGGTTGTTTGTTCTTGAAATTGGGAGGCTGCCTGAGGATTCCCTAATCTCGAAACCCTGAACTTTCAACCCCAAAGTACCCTAAACCCTAGTGTGCCTGTTAAGGCTCCGAAAAGAAACCCTTAAGGCTTGGAAAAGAAACCCTAAACTTTGAAACCCTGAACTCTAAACCCTAAAGGTTTAAGTAAGGTTTAGGCGTGCTTCAAGGGTTTCGGCTTTAAGGTTCTCAAAACAGGCTCAAAGTGGTATCCTAGATACCTTTTGCTGGTATCCTAGTTGTCTTGCTGGGACCTTTCAAACTTCTGGACAGGCGACGCTGGGCCGCCACGCAGAAGCGCACAAGCTGATACAGGGGCAGGTGCCATGGTTCGTGTATCAGCGCCTAAGAATTTGCCGGGCCTGTGTGCCGCTGCAAGAATTTGCCGGGCCTGTGGGCCGCTGCACAAACTGTCCGCAGCTTCACACGCACGTTTTCATGTGGAGCTGCCCCAGAGAGTGTCTGTCAGATCAATGGCCAGCGGGACGAGCTGGAGACCCGCATGAGCAGTCTTGAGTCCTCCATGAAGAAGCAGGCGTGTTCGAGCCTGCAGTCGTTGAAGCTTGCGGACCACCGTTCGGGGTTGCCGATGTGGGGGCGGAGAGATTCGGGGTGATCATGTCCCAATGTTGACCCAAGCACTGTTCCGAATCAGTTTGAAGACAGGGTGAGGATCTCCAGAAGTCTGCGCACGACCGGATGGACGGCATGGAAAGACATCAGTCCACCATGACGAAGGAGCCGTGTATTCAGGGAAGAGAGAAGTTGAGCGAGGAAGTGCCAGGACCTGCCAGGACCGCTAGAGGCTGCTGTAGGGCAACCTCGACATGTTTACAGGTCTACGGCCTGCACTGCGCAGATGAGTTGCATGTAGCCAGGGGCTTCAGCAACCACCCCGACCCTGAACATCTCGTCAATTGAACGCTGCATCGACTTGCGACTTTGTTAGAATTTTGCAGCATGATGAAGCGGCCCTTAATCTAGACCCCCAAATAGTAGGATCCCTTTATAATAAGGAACCCCCAATAAGGTACCCCCCCAAAGTCGGAAACGACCCCCCCCCCCCCCCCCGAAAGTGAAGCTGGGAAGAGGAGAGCGGGAAGCAGCTCAACGCGCTGGACCTGCGCATGGCCGCACTCCAGGGTGCCAGTGGTGAGTCGGGAGCCATGGGGAGCTTGAAGGAGAAAAAAAGGGTCTTTCCCCAAAATTAGGGGGGGGGGGTTGTTATCCTTATTATGCCCTAAACATAGTGTAAGTATAACCCTTATGTTAAAAAAAACAAAAAAGGGTACCCCTATTTCCGGAAGCCCATATATATATATATATATTATGTATGTATGTATAAGAGGCTTAGTCAGGCTGAACTTGATCTAATGTTGAGTCTTTTCTCGGAACGGACCCTGTGGCTCACCAGGTCTAAGCGGGACATCAACAAGATCCGAGATGAGGTCAACAGCTTGACAGCCAGGGCCTTTGAAAAGTAAGAGCCTGCAAGAGCAGCTCAGCAGTCTGGAAGCGGATTCAGCCGCTCATGCGAGCTACAGTTTTCAGACCCCTTGTGCTCATGAGCCGCTCTCTTGCATCCAGCCCCCAACCCTCTAATTTTAACGCTACGCGACCCGCCTCGGCCCGGCCCAGCGCATCCGCGTGAGCATGGTGATTCCGCAGCGCCCGAGTCGCTGGACCCCAAGAAAATAAGGGTTGGGTTTAGGGTTTAGGGTTCCGGGTTTATGGTTTATGGTTTGGGGTTTAGGGTTGAGGGTTTAGGGCTCAAGGTTCACGCTTTGGGGTTTGGGGTTTTTTGGGTTTAGGGTTCAAGAGACGGTTCGGCTTGGATTGATCGTAGGGTTGAGGGGGGGAAGAGGGGCAGGGGGAAGGGGGGCAGGGGGGGGGGCAGAAAGGAACGGGGGGAGGGGGGGGGGGCAGGGAGGGGGGGTTTGTTGAAGGTTTGAGGGTTGAGTGCTTCGGGTTTAGGGTTTAGGTTCAAGCTTAGACTCTTCGGCTCGTGTAATGACACTTAAAGTGGCTTTGGGGGGGGGGCCCTGCTGAGAGGGGCTTCAACTGCCTCTGGTCCTGGCGAACCGTCCGCTTGCGGACCCTGGTTTCCCAGGGGGGGTACCCATGTGAGGCAAAAAAGGGTCCGAAAAATGGCTTTGCGTGTGGGGGGAGGATTTGGAGGGGGGTGCCTGTTCTGACAACCTACACCTCCGGCCCGAGGCCTCGGCGGATTTACAGCAAAACCCCCGCCCGCATGCCTAGAGACCTTCAGCCAGGTCAAAAGCGCTGCGCACGACGTAGACATCGCAAAGAACAGCGACGACCTGCGCAAGATTGAGAGCAGCGGACTTGGCCGATGCTCGAGTAGCCTGCAGCTTTTTCTCGAGGCGGAAGATGCTACGTTGTGTCAACCCCATAATGTTAGGATAGACTGGTTGTGCAGCAACTGCTTGGACAGGCCATGAAGGTCTGTTGAAGTGCAGCATGTTCGCGGACTGGCCTGAGGACAGCGGGCAGATGAGGGCCAGCGGCAGAAGCAGGACACGGGTATCACATGAGTTCACCACAGGCCTGCAATGGTTGCTTCGTCCTTCGGGCGTGGTGCGGGGCATTCCATGAGGCACCACCTGCACGAACTAAAGCATCGAGCCCAAGCTGTTCCTGCAAAGCCGTCTGTGTTGCTATATCATGATGGCTATACATACTAACAGACTGCATCACCTTCGCTTTCAGATGCACCTATGCTGGCCTGAGGCCACTGTCATGCTGAGAGAGCAAAAACTGTGCCCGCAGGAGTTTGATGCAATCTACGAAGAGCTTGACCAGACACTTGGCCAACATCACTTGCTTTTGAAACGCTGCTCATCGCACCCTCGGCCCCTTCAAGCATTAGGGGTGCCGGTCGTGCAACTGCATTTCTTGGCGTTGCGCCGTAGTGTCTTTTTGTTCAAGGAGCCGAAGTAGAGCTGACATCATTGTAGCATCCCGCTGCAGCCATGACTGCAATGCGTTACCGAGCAAGAGAAGAGAGCCAAATTCCAAGTGTCGACCTGAATGCCGCATGACTTCATGGGTCACTGCCCACTTTATGCTCTGGAGGGTCCAACTTTATGGCGAAAGCCTGTGATTCGGAGCCGAATCCGTTTCAGAAGTCCATGTTCTTACCGTACCATCTAAGTCTAAGGTCAGCAAGAGTCCACGACGGCTCCTTTCATCCGTAACCTTCAATGAGCCGGACCACTTGAAGAACGCATTGGATGCCATTAAGAGCCGCGCCGCGTCACAATTACTTACAAACACGGATTGAGCTCGACCATATTAAGCGTGTGATGTTCTTCCAGCTGCACTCCAGCTCAAACAGGGCGTGTTGTGTATGTGTGTGTTGGCTGTTTAGGGCACATGTCTCTCGGAAGCCATAGGACGCAAGTAGGACAGCTGCGCTGGAGAGTAGATCGCCGATCTTCACATCTTGACACAACATGATACCGGGTGCTACGAGAGCTCTGCACCCTGAACTCAAGGACGATACACTCGAGCTTACACAAGGAAGCCCTGGGTTGACGAGGAGGGAAATCAGGTTTGGGGCAATCTGCGTGTGCCTTGGATCACGCCATGAAGTTGTCATGCCATGACGTGCTGCCGCAGGTTGTAGATAACGGATAGCGCATGCCAACGCATTCCACCGTTAAGCTGGTATATCCATGTCTGCTGCCACCGAGATTCTGGGTGATGTGACTGCATCTTCGTTGTCAAACTAAGGTTGCGGTAGCGCAAACGGTGTTCTCACAAAGCTTTGAGACCTGCATGGGCATTCTCATCATCTTCAACATTTGCCTCATCATCATTGAGGCAGGAGAATCAGAGGGGGAACGGTGGGCCGTACCGATGCCGCAGGAGAAGCCATGTGAGCGTCTGCACTGCACAAGATCCCTAACCTGAGTATGCACATTCGTGACACAGAACAAACTCCAGGACTCTGGGTTTTGGGGTTCAGAGGTGCTCAGAGGCAGAGGCTCCCGCGAGTAGGCGCGCTAAAATAAGTTCCCCGCGACAGGATTTTCCGCCCAGATGCATTTGCAGCAGAAGTAGCCCGACAGAACTTGAGAAACTGCCGTGTGTGGCTTGCTGAGTGTCAGGCAAACATGGATGCTCAGTGCTACCCCGACTTCAAGGATCGTTGGGCAGATTGCCCAACCCGTGGCGAGCTGGTGCCCTTTCTTAGCATCTCAAACTACATCCTCTTGGTGGTATACTCACTCGAGAGCTGCGCTCGGGCCTTCGCCGAGCGCGGGCAGTATTTATGTAACGCCTGGAACGTGTCCGACCTTGTGACCGTGCTCCTGGGATGGATGAGCCTGCTTCTGCAGAACATCATCAACCCAAATCTCCTGAGGCTTTCCAGGCTTGTGCGTGTCCTGAGGGCTGCGCGGGTATTCATCTCGATCCCGGAGTTCTACTTGCTGGTCTCCGGGCTCTACTCTTCCTTCAAGGCTATTATATTTGGATCTTTCATGCTTCTGTCAGCCATCGTGGTGTGGGCCATTATTGCTGTGGAAGTCCTACATCCCATCTCGTCCGACATGAGTTTCACGAACGATTTCTGCCAGGGCAGGGAGTGCCATCTGCGGTTTCGAAGTGTTTACTCTGCAGGCACAACTTGCTGGGCGCTGTGGGGTTTAATTTTAGAGATACGAAGCAAGGACCCAAGTTCCGCACACTGCTTCTGTTAAACCTGGCCAGCAACAGCTTCATTTGCAAGATCGGCCTCTGAAAGGTTATAGGAAGCCCCACAAACATGAAACAAAGACATGCTTGGAATCGGGACGACGGCGACACGACGACGACACGACGACGCGACGACGACACGACGACGACACGGCCACGACACGGCGACGACACGGCGACGACGACGACGACGACGACGACGACGACGACGACACGACGACGACACGACGACGACACGACGACGACACGACGACGACACGACGACGACACGACGACGACACGACGACGACACGACGACGACACGACGACGACACGACGACACACGACCGAACGACACGACGACGACACGACGACGACACGACACGACGACGACACGACGACGACACGACGACACGACGACACGACGACGACACGACGACACGACGACACGACGACACGACGACGACGACGACGACGACGACGACGACGACGACGACGACGACGACGACGACGACGCTACGGCGAACGACGACGACGACGACGACGACGACGCTACGGCGAACGACGACGACGACGACGACGACGACGACGACGACGACGACACTACGGCGAACGACGACGACGACGACGACGACGTCGTAGAGGCAGTGGTAGTTGTGGAGGTGGTGGTAGTGGTAGTGAGCCGTAGACGCAGAAAGGGGAAGCATTAGCATCAGCACTCGGCACCATGGCCTTTCCAACTAGATTGTGAACCAGACAGGTTCAGTCCGTTATCCCAGCTGCCACCCATCGTAGCCGCTGTAGATTCCGCTTCATGGGTGAGCTCACTCTATGAGGCCTGACATTGTTTCAACAGATTGTGGCTGGGGATTCGTGGGGTGAGAGACTTGGCTGCAATCAAACTGGGCGGGTACAGGGATACGACAGGGATACGTATTTGTCAGGTTGCAATGAGGACTTTCCTCACTGGAGTTGTTGAACATCATATCTGACAAGAGGACTGTACTCAGCCCTCTGCAAAAAAGGTATGTGATGCCGGTACAGATGGCAGCTACTGACAGTCAACAAAGCAACGGCAGATGTTTCAGAGGTACATGCCCGGCACAGGAAGGATTGCTGCGAGATTTGCTGTCCTTTGCCGAAGTTTTGCCAGGATTTCCATCCCTTTGCTCGAAGAGCATCCAGAGACCTCGGTGATCCTGTTTCCGATCATGGTCTCGATTTCTCTGGGTGTGATGCTTACTTCGCCAATAGTTGAACTTTAGACGTTTTGGGTTTCCTTTTTTGTAGGAGCAATAAAGTTAAGTTTTTTCCCCTCGGTGTTTTGGAGAAGTAAGGATGAACCTTATACTTGCTGTGCCTTGGCATCTCCAGTCGTGAGAGATGTGCATCCTCGGTTCGCTACTCTCACTTTTTGCCCAATCAAAAAGAAGCCTCGAGGTCGACTGGTGTCGGCTGCTTAGAGTCAAGACACCACCGATTAAAAAAAGGGCCCTAATTCTAGGTGCCATTCAATACTATTCACAAATATAAGACATCCTCCAAGGCCTAGCCACACTACTGTATGGCATGGCCTCCTCAGCCCTTTTTGCAGAACAAAGTTGGGGTCTCTGGTAGTTGCACAAGAACCAAGTGTCGCGGAGTGAGGTGATTGTGGAGCGTGCGACTGAAGCTCGGGAGAACGACCAAGATCGGAAGCTTAAAAAGAAGGAACAGGAGCGGTCAAAGAACATGATTGATTTCGCTCTACTCTGTGACTGGGCACTAAAGAGCAGCCCTGTTGTCCGGAATGTCGTGAATTCGTGGGCTTGCACCCCATAGGCCCATGACATGAACAGAGTTGCACCCTCCAGCTCCGAGTATTTCTGAAGGTTACGACATGGATGCGGATGAGAGCGGATCCCTGTCCCTTGAAGAGATGCTGAAGGGGTATGACAACATCGAACCATTCTGCAGGCTTATGCAGGTTATGGATATACGACGCGAAGACATGGAGACCATCTTTCGCGTGCTAGACTCGGACATGTCCGGGGAGGTTTCATACTTCGAGTTTTGCCAGCACCTTTCTGGCTTTTTCGAGCGCGATCCGGCTATAATGCAATCGCTCATCAAGCAGCGCGGCACGCAGTTAGTTGCAATTCGTTAGCGATGCTTAGGCAGTGGACAAGCTGCCAAACACGGCATCACTGGACCACATGTGCTTCCTATAAACCCCCTGAACCCTATAAACCCTTTGAAGCCTATAAACCCTATAAACCCCATAAATCCTAATTAAAAAGCCCTTCGCTTGACCAGGTACTCAGTTATGGAACTCCGGAAGTTGATCAACAATACCGTAGTGGAGACACTCCAGCACCAGACCGACCTGCTTGAGCAGCAGACGCGATTGTTACAAGCCCTAGCACCAAATATCAAGGTGCAAGGCCAAGACCCCAGAACAGCTGCTCCTCCACCAAAACCTGAGGAGCCTTGGTCTCTGGATTTTTGGAGGCAGCGGCATGTGAGAGAAGAGCGGACTCCTCAAGGTAGTCGGGAACTTCGGGAACCTGTGGAGCCACTTATGGAACCTTTTGGGTCCATCCACCAGCAGCTTCAGCCTTTGATTGCCAGGGCAGAGGAGCTGGTGCTGCAAGCCCTGGAGCACCGCGACGAGCAGATCATCAGGCTTGCGGAGTCCACGACGCCGGCCGAACGCCAGAAAATTGGTAGGCCAGCTAGCAACGAAAGCCTCTTACAGAACAAGTTTGTTGCTGTGTGCGACAGCTTTCAGCATCGGCTTGGTGAGATCGAAGTGCTCGAGCAGCGATGTAGAGATGTAGTCCGATATCTCAAGTCTGCCCAAGAAGAGGCCGTCAACGGCGGAGATTCCAAAGTTTCACGTCTTGTGTCGGAGGAGTTTTAAGCAAGAGCCTTTGGGCAAGGGCAGATCGCCGTGCAGGTTCTAAACCCTAAACCCTAAACCCTAGACCCTAAACCCTAAACCCTAAACCCTAAATCTTGACAGGGTTCCTGCCGCCGCACGCTGCCTGCTGCTTCCTCCATGGGAGTGGAACTCAAGTCGTTGAGAGCGCCGATTTCCGTTGGGGAATTCTTCTCCAGGCCTTGCTCAGCCAACAACTCTTTGAATTCTTTAGTTTAGAGCATTCTATATGAGCACAACATATAATTGCAAGACTATACTGCTAGATTAGTATATTGCGATAATCCTATGTTCGATGTTGCTAGGTTACTAGATAATCATATGTTCTATATGGTAATGTTATAGCATTTTGATTTTTTTCATGTTTCATTGTATCAATATACTTTTCGAGTGCTAAGTGTTTTACTATGTTGCTATACTATGTTGTTATGCGATTATATTCTAGTTCTATTCTTGGTTCTTGTATTATGACATTAGAGCATTACATTAATTTATTAATGTATGAGAATATGGTCATATTACATGCTCATATCAGTTGCATATTAGAAAGGCTTAAGTTAGTGTGTATCATAATCTTGTTTTTGCAGCGGGGCCTTAACCACACAAGATTGTTCGGGGTTTCTTTTTTTTTGTTGTGTGTTAGGGGGGGGGGCGGGTACAGCCATTTTACTCTAGCCATGCCCAAAATACTGGCATTTGCAGCATTTGTGCCTCTTTATACAAGATGCTCCAAAACGTTGTTTGACGTTCTGGAACAAGACGAGCTGTCGCAAGCCTTTTGCGAAGATGCCCACAACGCTGGAATGTTCCGCGCTTTGCCTTCATTGAATACTGCAGAAGAATCCTTGATGTTTCTGCAACCAGACGCGCTATCAGAAGTGCTCATGACTCGTAGCATGTTTGCCTATCTCTGCAACATACTCACCACGACCATGTTCATCTCCAGGAAGGGGTTTCAAGTTTGCGCTTTCAGCCCCACCATGCGCGAGTCCAAAACTCCAGGTTTATGCGTTGCCAAACAGCAAACAGCAAACGATGGACCCCCAAAATTTCAGACCCCTAGATAGTAGGATCTCCTTATAAAAGGAACCCCAATAAGGTACCCCTCTCTAGAACACAATTTTAAACATATCGATTTCTGAGAATATTGTTTTTTAAAGTCTTACATTTTCATATACTATTTCTTCATTGTAAGAATACTCTAGTATCATATGATTCGATTCTTGTATGAACATCTGATTGTAATATTCACTGTATGTTCATTTTTGTGTTGGTTTACTGCTTTCGATTACTTTTAGCTACAGTGGCCAGGTTAACGCGCTTGCGCTCTCAACCTTGCACCTCTGGCATTTCATGCAGTCTAGAGTCTATGCTTGGATTCGCATTTTCCCAGACCCGATGCGCGAGCTGCACTGACAAGCTCTGCCAAGCAGTGAGAAAGCAGCGTGGCTTGCGCGCGAATTCCGGATAACCGGAAAACATGGCGCCGTGCAAGAGAGCATTCCACACCCTGAAATCTTGCTGGTGTCGCGATAGTTACAAGCTGGGACCCAAGGAAAGTGGCCGAGAAGAGCTTCCAGCGCTTGGAGGCTTCTGCGCGCTTCTGCTGTGCAATGAGTTCTTTTACAATACCGCTCGCTTGCAGGTGCTTAATCAGGTTACTGGAAACCCTGCGAACCTTACGCACGCAAAATGACGACATGTCCATGGAAGTATCGGATATGCAGCAAATATTGCCTGACACCTCGGCTCCCTTGAACTCTCGAAGTCTTCCTTGCGAAGCTCACCTTGGTGTGATGAGTGCTTCAACAGGGCCACCAGGGAGCGTTGCTATGCATTGCGCATGCTTCAGTGGGGCTGCCAGTCGGACTGTGAGTATATAAGCACGAGGGGGCTGTTGGGGGCGGGGGAGCGCATCATCATCGACTTCGTCCTGGGAAGGACGATGCATCGAAGCTGACACGCGGCGTTCCAGCCTCAGCGGGAAAGTGCATGGTTTTGCCGACCTGTAGTTGTGAAGTGCTGCAGGTTGCATGAGCTGGCCAAAACATGCGATCTCTCCGTTCTTGGAACCTGTTGAGATTTGTTGGAGATGGTGCTTCTTATCTCTGTCATTGCTGCTCTTGGTCCAAACATGCCCAAGCCCAGCAACCCACAGAAGAAAAGGCCAGGACAACACAGGAGGGACAAGCACATTACAAGACAGGGCCTCACAAAACACAGACGCAAAGTCGAGAGTTTAGCGATTGCCTCCTCTGCGCAAGTGCAGAGTTTCGCATCTCTCGGAGTTGGGCGCTTACTGCACTACCAGGTCCTGCTAACTTATGTGCATGAGTACCTGGTACTTAGAAGCTCTTTTGACTTAGTAAGTCTACTTTATATCCCTTAGAAACCCCATGATAATCCCTATGACCCACCTCACTGACCCTACTTACCAAGTCAAAAGGGCTTCCAAGTTCTACAGTCGCTCGGCATGGGGCAGGTATAATGTAGCCTCGCCATTTCAGTCGTGAGGAGTATGGGCCAGACGGCACTGGTGCATTGCCGAACAGACTGCCGCGTGCCACCGCGCTGCGAGGGTCTGGTTAACCAGGCCTGCAACGATGCTTGGACTTGTCTGCACCCGAACATGCCAAAAGATGCTTACAACGGTCAAGCAAGCGTGCTGCGTAGCCGGCCTGACACCTTGTGCAAGCATGGGCTCTCCGACGTCTCTGTCGTGGGTGGCCTGTGAATTTCGGAAACTTTTGTGTTGTAACTAGGGGTAGTATGGACAGCAGCCCAGACGGAGCCGCAACCTCTCGAGTTGAAAGCAGACTGGCGGTTGGAGCAGCTGTTGACGGGTGTTTGCAGTTGCCGTCATAGAGTCCGAATTCATAGAATCCGAAAAGTGTGCTGACTCGCAAGGACTGCATACAAGATCTTAATCCCGTCCTCGTCCTCACCTTAGCTCACGGCTTGCTTTGGAAAGCTGAGCGTCAAAGTGTGGAGGCTTACCCTGGCAGTTGGTTGGGCCCCCCCTCCCCTTCCCCCCAAACGATTTCGCACTTTTTGACCGTCCTTAACGACATGACAAGGGTTGGGGGGTTGGTTGAGGTTGAGGAGCTTGACCTTTGGGTAGTGAGGTTCTGCCTCGGAGGAATGGGGCTGCGGATTAATCCAGACCACCCAAACAAACAAAGCGGGATCGGCCAACGAACTCCATTAGCACAGGAAGCCTTAGAATCAGACGTCGCAGAACAGTGGGTAGAGGAGCTAAACCGGGAGCACAGCCCATCCGAGAATCAACGCACCCTAAGCCCGAAACACTGGAGGTTCATGGTACTTACTCACCTAATAGTGATTTTGCACATAGATTCCAATCATATCCATACTAGGGTAATTCGGGGGCTCATATGTGGATTATCAGTACAGTTCTAAGTTGATATTCGAACCTTCGAGCAAATCATTGCCTGAGGCTTCGACGCCATCGCCAGAGAGCAAGCTTCTGCGAGCAGCCAAGGAAGGGAATTTGGAGGTGGGCCATGGCGCTTGTCACGCTGGCAGCATGCGCCACTTCGGGTATATCGGGTCTATAAGATACAGTAGGGTACTTAGGGTGTATGGGTTTATAGGGTTTTAGTATAGCCTACATACCAGGCACGTGAGAGAGCCTTGGCTCAAAAAGGGTATGTAGACTATATAGGCTATATAGGGCCTATGGGCAGAAAGGGTATATGCTTTTGATGGTTTTACCCGGCTAAATTACTCTGTGATCGAGGCCCGCATCTTCAGGAACCTTATGCACAATAGGTTCTGTCGCGATACAAGCACTCGAACAAAATGATCTGTAACCTCCGGGCATGATACCGGCTTCTGCGCAAGATTTCGGCGTGGAGAGGGGGTTGTCAGCACTGCACTCCTGCTGCATCCCACTCAATCGCAAAAGTTGACAAGCTGTGCTCGAAAACAAAGATCATCTACGGAATCTGCAGCCTGTCCCGTGCGCAGTGCTCATTCGATGCCACCTTAGATTCCATACTGCTGTTTCTGGTGAGTGAAAAGATGATTCCTATAGAACATATTGGCAGCGTGTGTAGGGGGTGTGAATTGGGGTGGACCCTACTTCGTCTGAGGCATCATTGCAAGTTAGCTTGCTGCCCGCTGACTTAGAGCCCGGGATTCGGGTCTATCTCTGTCCGTGTACCTGCACTACCAGTATGTAGAAGTGTGAACCCTGAGAGGGGAGGCGGGGTACAGCACCCAGTTGTCAGCCCTCTCTAGCTGGCATATTCCACCGGGGCAACTGGTGAAACCCTAAACCTGGTAAGAAGCAGTGTGGTGTGAGGCTGCTAGGCAGGTGGCAAAACAACCATTAGGACTGGTTACAAAAAGTAAAGAGGTACTTCTGTTCCCAGTTTGCCAGGAAGTCGCCGAGCAAATCAGCTTGGGAGCTGCCGCGCGTCAGCCTGGAACAGCGTTTTGTTCTTCCGGCTCTTCGGGAATTAAGGTGCTGATTTGCTGCAACGATGGGTCTATACACGATCTAAACAAGCATGGGTTGCTGGCGTTCGTGCTGCTCCTTAAGCCCTAGATGCTAGTCAAGTCCAGGGAGAAGCAAGTGTCGCAGCCTGCGACTATAAGTGAGAGAAGCTGAGGACGTCAACCCTAAACCCTAAACCCGAAACCCTATAAATCCTAAGGACGTCAACTCCCGGCAGCCCTTGAAGCTCATCACCTTGGACAGATATCATTCGGGACAGCCGATCCGCAACTGCGGCATGACGCCCTTGAGCCCAAGATGAATTAGGGTTTAGGGTTTAGGGTTTAGGGTTTGGGGTTTAGGGTTTAGGGTTTGGGGTTTGGGGTTTGGGGTTTGGAGTTTGGGGGTTTGGGGTTTGGGGTTTGGGGTTTGGGGTTTTACTCTCTGACGGTGTGACGGTGCGAAGGGGCAGACTGGGTTTTTTGTTAAACGAGATGGGGGTTCACGAAAATCGGGGACCCCTAAAATAGACCCCCAATTTGTAGGATTCCCTTAGAATGAGGACCCAATAAGGTACCCTAATCTCGGAAATCACCAGATTTGTAAGGCCTACAATTTAAATCCAAAGACCGGCTCCAGGAACCGTTCAGGACCATGCCGTTAAGTAGATGATTCGCGAAAGTTGCCGGTTTGTCACGCTCCCCCTTGAGCCTGAGGATGTATGCTGCGAATGCCGGAAGCGCGAAAGTCGTTTCATATTTGCTTCGAGCCCGTGCTCGGGTCAACGACACCGATGAGCGGGGCGTGTCTTGACTTCATGACTTAATTTAGGCAATACTACCTCGCGTGTGGCTGCGCAGCTGCTTAAGTCTCTCCAATTTAGCGAGGATGGATACAGCATCATGTAGCAGCTCCAGTGCGCCAGGTGCAGTGTGCCATGAGAGAACGCATAAAATCGAACCAGACTCCCCACTCCATCCCCCTGCGCCCGAGATCCCAGCTGCCCACCTGTGCCAAAGGACTCGGCTGTTCATAAAGCGCGGCGGGCGGGCGCACAACATCTCAAGACGACTACCTCAGCACTCTCTGGAAGCATAATTTGTGGACAAGTTGCCACAAAGCTCCAGTGCGTGTGGCAAAAAAACAGACCCGGTGCGAACCAACTTGGCAGGAGGCATTGAAGCAGTCGGGATTTATCGGATCTGCCGAACCTTCATAAAAAGCCCGCAGCGGTCGGTGGGCACTTGTACCTGGCACTCACACACATGATACCAACTACACAGTTCGGTACTGGACCCCAGGAGGTATAGAATGAACATGCGTGTGTAAAACGCCTGCGCGGGCAGCCTCGGCGCAAGCTACGCCATCCACTGCCTAGGGGGCGTTCCAATTCAGACTGCCGTTTTTTTTCAGCTCCTCCCATGACACAAACGTTTGCTGCGTCCTCGGTCTGGGGTTCGCCTGGTCTGCTTGTTTCGGACGCCCGTCAGCCATGAAGGGAAGCGGACGGTGCACCTCAGCAATGCCCTGCTCAGGGCGCCCGACTGTTTCCAAAATCGTGTTGCTGTCATCGATGACTCCCATCATGCACCACACCATGAATGCCGAATGGCAGAATCATGTCGTCTCGGGATTTTTTCGAAGCTTGCACTTACATCTCAGGTCTCGGCTTTGCATTTGGCGGCTGCCTCGGGTGACCTTACCTCCTTCCAGGCATCTGCGGAAATTTTCTAGTGTTAGGCCATGTTAGGCCTTCTTTGAACACATCTGGTGGCGGAGATGGCTGTGCGAATAGTGTAAGCGCACTACGTGCGTCACACGACACTAAAGAAGAAAGGCCCTAGCTGTGCCAACTCTCTAGCTGTGGTGGTGTGTGTGTGTGTGCACTGCTGGCAGCTATGCGATCTTGCCCAAGACAAGTCTGCATGTGCAGGTTCTGTTAGACAGCCACGCTGCCCCTTCCACCACAGAAGAAGGCCGTGCACAAAGCGGAACAAAGTTCTTCCGCAGTGCCTGCACAAGCGAAGCCGGCTGCATGACGTTTGCATGGCAAGGAGACACCGTCCTTGACTATTTGCCCCAGGACAGAGCTTGAAGGTATCAGATGTTGCTCCGATGGTTACAGTAAAACTGCCGCACAGAATCACATATGTGCTTGAGGATGTGAGGACCGACACGGCACTCTTGGACAAGTTTCGCCAGTCCCTGCCAGCTAGCATGGATGAGGACTCGGAGTGTTTGAGTTGATGAGTCACTGAGCAACGCGACAGTTGTTTTGCTCTTTCCGGACTTGGGCATGGATCAGGAAGAGACGGATGTCGCTCACGAAGCGAAGAAGGGCCGTGGTCGTGACTTGAATTCACTCGTACCGTGCTGGAGGGTCCTTTTGTGCATGTTGGTTGGCACATCCTTCAGCCAAGGACCGAAGTTCTGAGCCCGAAAAAGCTTGGCGCTAAAGTTTGCCAAAGTGGCAGCCGTTTGTCGCTTTGATTCGGCCAAATTCGGCCTTCCCTTGTATCGTCATGTGTTTCACAAGGTGTCCTTGGCCATACCATATGCCAGCCAAAAATGCTGGTTCTGCAGGCATGCTGGCGCGTGCGGGCTTGCTGTTGATTGACCAGTGATTACCCCTAGCATACACATCATTGCACCTCCGGCGAACGTGCCGGTGTCGTCCACATCAGCCAGTCTCGGGCAGATTCCTGTGCCCCAATGTATGGGCGCAAGACATTCGGATGGCCCCTTTGTAACACGCAAGTTCAGGTTCTTTGATCAGGGTTGCGTATTTGGAGATATTGACTATGGGTACTGGCCCAACCTCTGAGAAGAAGGCTGCTCAATAAGGCGTTTGGGAGCGTTCGTGCAGTTTCTGGCAAGTGACTTACAAGTGCTAAATACCGCTCCGCAATGAGCGCAGATCTACGAGGATGATCTTCGTCTCAAGAGCGTTGAATGGGTGCTGGCGTTGCGCTCCTGCGCCGGATCTACCTTCTCAAGATAGCGGAAAAAAGGCCTCGATTCTTGCACATCCCGCGCAGAACACCACGTGTATGTGTGTGTGTGTGTGCCTGACTGCAATGTGTTGGTGCGCTCATTATGGGTATCTCAGTGTTGCGCGAAGACATGCGCAATTGCATTGCGGAAAAAGGGGAAGAGAAACCACTAGGTCTCAAGCATAGATGAAAAATTGAAGTGTGCTGTAATCAAGAATATCGTATATTCTTAGTACCAACCATCTTTCTCCTCAGGCATCATTCCAGACAAACAAAAATTGTAGCTCCTACACGCAGAACAACATGAACATCTGCTACTGCAAACTATGTCTCTTGTAATCCTCGATCTACTGCAGCACTTCCACTTGTGGTTATTCAAAAGCCAGTCTGACGTACGAAGGACGTCCAAGGATTATCCTCGCATGTCCACGCAAGGTTGTGAAGCTGTGCCAAGTCGTGGGCGTCTTCCCTGGTGCGCGGATGAACGACGGCACTGAGGCAGGCTGGTGGAGCTTGACGTAGCGCTCCAAAATCTGCGCCAGCCCCCCAAGGAGGAGCTCGATGTCGACGTCGAGATGTTGAACTGGGAGGTCCTGCGATTCAGCTAGTCATTACAAGCAGAGCAACGCAATCAATCGCGCAATCGCGTCTTGAGGGTTTTGTCGAAGCTCGTAGCAGCAGCTACAGATCCATGTCTTGTCAGATATGACAGGCCAGAACTTTTTCGTAGGAGGTCACGACTCCTGTAGCAAGTTGCAACACCGAGTTGTAACGAAGGCACACTGCGACACAGCGTTTGCTTGTTTCGAGCAAGTTTGTAGACCTTGATGCGGCAGCCTGACCGGCACGAGTCCCACAGAAGCCTTTGCAGCATGCACAAGGACTGTGCGCAGAACCTCACTGTCCGAGTGGAGAAGACTTGGCGACAGCTGTATTCACAGACTCTTGGCGATTGATTGCCGAACTCGATTCGGCTAAGGATCGTGTGCCTTCTTACTTCGACCTGGGGCCATGCTGTTTCTGCTGGTACAGCAGTATGTTGAATCCTGATTGGCGCGACTCCGTGCAGTTTTGTGATCTTGTTGGAAGAGCTAACGTCGGAATCGTACTAAGTTTTTCGGGTCGTCGGAAAGTTTTGGGGTGAGGCGGCACTCGAAAACAAATCCTAAAGAACACCCTGAATCTCGACTGCAGCTCCCAGACACTGCCCCCAGCTGCAGAAAAGCGCCCACCCCTGAAGAGCGCGGAGGGGGAAGGGTTTAGCAGTTTAGCGCCAAGGAAATACCGCAGCGTCCTTGACCTGGTCGGCAAGAAGGCAAACGAAACAACAGACCCATCTACTATTTCATTCTGGGAAAGATGCAATGAGTAGTCCTTGCATGTATTTGTGAGAAATACTTCACCACATGGTATGGCCTTGGTGTATCCGACGAAGATTCTGACATGCGATGTGTGAATCTGCTAGGCAGACCACTCCGTTCTCCGCCTGCTCCAAATATCGCAGCAGCACATCGAAAGCCAGTCTGCCTCTCGAAAAAACAATCTTGTCTAAACCCTAAACCGCATGCATCTCTGGTGCCCGTAACAAGGCTCGACCGCGTTCGCCATGAGAGAGAGCTCCTGAAAGAGGCCGAACCGGATGGTCAGGCTAGGGTATATAGGGTTTTGGGTTTTGGGTTTACGCCACTTACAGCTCCACCTCGCTGTTTTCGAGGCTCGACGAAGTCTTGTGTGCCGCCATACATGTCTCACGGCTGGGTTGTGCGTGGTGATAGGAAATCTATCGGCACGACTTCTTGTTTTGTGTCGCTTATCCACGAGGTCGTGGAGAGGAGAGCGCAGCAGCCCCTGCCCTTCCCGATGCCGATGAAGGAGAGCTTGGTTTAGGTTTGGGGCGCATGCCGCCGGAGCTTTAAGGCCTGACGCTCGCTGATGTGCAAGGACCCCAACACTGGCATGCCAATGTCGCAGGGTCGCTAAGCAGCATCATGGTGGGATGCAGACGGACTGAACAGAGCTCTTCCAGCTGCCTTGGCAATATAAACGTCGTGTATTACCGTATGTTACTGTACCTGTACTTTTGGTAACTTTAGTATCTGGCCAGGGGCGATACAAGTTGTCAAACTCCAAGCATGCAAGAAAGTCTACATGCGGTGTGTACTATACACACTGGGGCTTTTGCTGATCCAAGGCTTGCCGGGCCTTCCCTTCAACCCAGCCGGTGGTCGGGGCCCCGCTGCATCAATCCAACTCAACTTTGCGCATGCAGCTCCACCCCCACCCTTCCCCATACCCCCCCCCCCACCGACCACGCTCCCCCCAAACCGAACCGTTATAGTCGCACTCTGTCTGTGTGCGCAAGTGTTTCTTTTTCGGGCAGGGGCTGAGTTGCAAGCAGCCTCTTGCACCTTAAGCCTGTCTGCCTCTCTGCATATACCTCTTCCGCGGCTTCTAGGTTAGTCCAAGTTGAACATCGCGTCCCCAAGCAAAAGCTTGAACCGCTTTAAAGAACTGAAGACTCGGCCTTGCAAAAACGAATGGGTTGCCAATTAGTTTCTTTGCTTTTGCGCAGGCAACAGTTCTCAGTACTTTACCTGTCTCACATCTACTGGCAATTTAACGTTCCTAAGGGTTGGGGACTCTTTCCCACTGCTGACAGTCATGCATATGTGCCACTGTCACCCTCGGAGCCTTCTTGTGTGTGTGTGTGTGTGTGTCTGTTTTCGACTCTGTGTCCGCGTAGTCTGTTTGCCGTTCTCTTCTTGGTCCCCACATGTCCCAACTGGCCCAAACCCTCTTGCCAGCCACCTACTTCCTGGTTTAGGTCACCAGGTCTCTCTTCCTTCAGTCGATACACCTCGGGCTGAGCAACTAAAAACCTGCAAGCATCTGCTGCCACAAAGGCTTTGCTCATCCAATGGCCTTCCCCGGGATGGTCCCAGATGCGCGGGGCTTGTTATTTTGGCCGCAGCCTCCCTATATGCCGCATGTGCCACATGGCTTTTTTTGCCAGACACATACTGATACCTGTACACTTGTACACTCCTTTTCGTGTCATGTCGTACCCTGTCTTATCAGATCATAGATGTCCACCAGGCTGTCTAACGCGGCAACAGGTACAGGAGCTTCAACGACATCTCCCCAAGCCACGAAGCTGCCGGCAACCTCAAAGTGATACTTCATGACTCTACCCCCCCTCCTAAAGCCGAATAACTAAACCCTAAACCGTAGCCATTTTGGCTCAAGTGTCCATGAAAGCCCCATGCTAGAACGACGCTTGGCCTTGCTTTGAGAAAAGCCATGGCAGCTTTCTTGAGTCTGCTTGCCGTGTTTTTGAGCACGGGCGGCTTGGCTCTCGGCCAACCTGCACCTTCCGATGCAAGGCACCAGGGCGAACGCCTTGGTGCTTATGTCGCAAGGTTGTCTGCAGTGGTGGCCAATGAGTTTCACCCCAAATCCGAGAATTCACCGCTGCATGCTGCGCCGTCTGGATGTGGAATTACAAGCAATCTTGACGGCAGCACTGCTGCTAATGCCACAGTCACTTGGCAGCTTGGTTGCGAGCCAGGACACGTTGCGATATTGCCGGACTTCAAATGCACAGCTGTGACAAGCAAAAACTACGTGCAGTGGAATGTCCTGGAACAGTTGCATGGGCCCGGTCCATGGGTCCAAGATCAAAGGTTCATCATCGTGAGCACGCCCACGTTCTACGACCACAGCGAAGGATGCTATCCCTCCGACACATGTTCGTATGAATGCGGCTGCTGTGGCCCTTCAAGCGGGGCACTTGCAGCTGTCATCACTGCAGGGCAACTGCTCTATGACTTGGAGCCCCATTGTGATGATCACTTGTTGCATGAGCTTGGTGAGGTTCAACCTTTCGCAATGGCCCTCCTTGATGTGTTGGAGCAGCAGGATGTTAAGGTTTGTGATGCCATAAAGGTCCTGTATCCTGCCGATCTTGATGCCATACTTTTGAGATGGTCGTTCGGGCTGACGTCCACTCGTTCTTGGCCTGGTGCTGCAAAGGCTTTCTTGTTGGCTGCAGCCATCGCATTTTTCATGTTCAGTTAACGCTTGCGATTACAGACTTCACACTGCGTGGACGGTGGCGTCTCCGCAGAAGGTCATCAAGGCGTGCAAGATCCTTGAGTGACCGCCGGTTCTCCATGGCGCGCTGTAGTGAAGTGTCATGATGCAGTCCTCACCGACGTCCGAGCCATGAAAGTTCCCTCCCCCTGTAGCCCCCTATCTGTATGCCCCTGTTACTAATCTGTGGAATGTCTGTTGTTTGCTATCACTCGAGGTAACTTGGTGAGGAACGGTAAGGCTTAGTATGTACAAAACAGGTGAGCTCTGAAGTAGCGATCCCCCATATATGATATCTCGCGTTCTATTTACTGGCTGTGCTAGCCGTGCTGTGATCTGATCCTTTCTTTTCTGTGTGACAGAGGATCGCGAGGTCAGGCTCATGCTCTTTCCGAGGGGGACAGCCCCCCAGGAAAGCCTGCCAAGACTAGGTTCTGCCGGGAGGGATCATTAGCCATCGTTGCATATCCGGTTATGGTACGAGTTGGCTTTGCTGTTGGGCTTTGGGCTGAGGACATTGATCTCTCCCGTTCCTACCCTTAATGCCTTCCAGGCAAAATCCCTGGGCAGCTGACATGTGCCTGTTGGGTATCTCTTTTCCCACTCCTCCGACCAATTTACCCCGCATTGCCGTGGCTAGTCGGGTGGCAAAAAAAACCCTAAACCCCGCATTGCTGTGGCTAGCCGGGTGCCAAAAAAAACCCTAAACTGCTAAGCCGGTGGCGAAAAAAGAGCCCTAAACCCCCAAATAAAAAAAAACAAAACAACGAAGCCGCAACTAAAAATGCCCTCCAGGCCAGTGCGGCAGCAGATGCAGAGGCCCCGAAGCCTCCAGCAAAGCGCATGGCAGGGGCCCAAGAAAGAGTGGGAACTCGAGCGGGGTGGTTTCGGGTTTAGGGTTGAGGGTAAACAACTCAGGGAGTCTGGTAGTTTAGGTTGAGGGGTTCTTGAGGTTTAAAGAGTTTAGGGCCAGAGGGCTTCAGCTCGAATCGCAGAAACTGACACCAAATGCTGATGCACTGCTGCGAGTCCTGATTCTTTTTCCTGAAAGCCACGGAGCAGCGTAAGCGCACAGAAATGCTGACTTCAGTTGACTGCAGACTGGGCTCATGCGAGGTGCTTTTGTCGGTTCCTGCCATGCTTTGTGTGACTTGTGCGTGTTGCCAAGAGGACACATCGCAGCGTGCAGTTGAAGCCATCCAAGCTGACAGAACAAGCGAGGCCTTTCCCGCCTTGACCTTAGAGAGCTTCGCGGCTGCGGCATTTGAAACTCGCGCAGAGCGGGCCGAGTCGCAGAATCATCAGCGCGATGAGGCCTTTGTCCAAGAGCACGGAGTGGAAGCTTCTTTGAAGGAAGTCTCTGCACCACACAGCCAGCAGGCAACTGCGCCATTGTCACCAGAGCAAAAAGCAGATGGCGCAGAGGTGAAGCTGACGTTCCAACTGCGAAATGGATTGCTCAAGCATATCTATTTCTCCTCCAGGCCTTTGCGTGTGCGATTCTCAAAGACACTCCCGTTGACTGTGACAGATGTCGGCTCGGACTGCACTGGCAGCTCGGGTGTCCCTGTTGATTCAGTCTTGACGCATGTGAATGATGTGCCGACGTCTGATGAAGCTATAAATGAACTCCGTAATGCCATCAGCCACCTGCCGCAAGAGAGTGCTGAGACTCCAGTCAGACGCAGGAAGCGACGATCAAGCTCCGAGCCGCCATCGTCCAGGCAGAGCCATTTTGCCCAGAAAAGGAGCAACACGGATCACTTCAGTGAAACGCTTGGGACGCTGCCAAGAACTGCGTCCCTGGAAGTTTCGCTCCTGTCTTTCAACCAAAATCCGCAACGTCTGAGAGGGATCGCCGCGAATCTCCAGGCCGCACGTTAATGAGTTGGCAGCCACCCAAGGTGGCGGCTGATTGTTAGAGTTCCTGGAGTTCTTGTGCGACCTAGGACCTATAGCATAGTCAGCGCATAGTGGCTGGCATGGCCAAAAACGCTGATGCATTCTCCAGACTGCGAGGAGCTACAGCAAGGGGGCAAGGGCTGGTCAATAAGGAATAGCCAGCAGGGAGTGGTTTGCAGCCCTATCAGAACTGAGCATGTGAATTGGCTGTTGGCGATGCACGCCCCGGATTATTTCGGTTAGCTTGATAGTACCTTATCATGAAGCGGCCCGTACGACTTTCAGAGGCACATTCTTCAAGCTTGCCTTGGCTCCGGTTATTGGAGACTGCATTGTCGGAGGGTTAGGACATGCGGTCAAAACCATTTACCCACGGCAGCACCCTCTGCCAGTTGTAAACCAGACTGCATGGCATGGACTAGTGACTATGGGACATGTGGGGGGGATTCGGGCGGTCACGCTTCTGATGTCCTTCCCTATAGCTGAACAAATCGCCTTTTTACAGGTCCATGTGCATCATGCGACTAGCATCAGCTGCACTGGTATAGATTCAAAAAGATCTTCAGATCTTGGGCGATGGGTTCCTGGCCTGTCTTCGCACAGTGCGCCGCCTTCATCTTCTTTCTGAGCTTCAAGCCCTCCGAGCCCCACTTGTCAGCCTACCTTCAGGACTGAGGGACTCTCAGTGACTCAGTGTCAGAGCAAACCTTTCAGGGTGAAGAGATCCTTGTAAAGAGAAGGGACTGCCACCTGCTTGCTTCGATGGAGGATGTCAAGCACCTCACCAAGCACCAGCGAGATGCTGAGGCTCGCTATCGCACACAGTCGAAGAGCGGCCTCGGCTTTTCGCAACCATTTTTGAGGGGGTTTCCGAAGTTAGGGGGTACCTTATTGGGGTCCTTATAAAAAGGGGAACCTACTATTTGGTCGATTGCAGGGGTCCCCTCTTTTCGGAAACTCCCATATGGCCCCCCCCCCCCCCCCCCCCGGTCATGGCGGGCCGTGCCTGCCAACATCGCCGTTTCTTCCCGACAGAAGCATCTTCGTCAGTGGAAGTGGTCATCGTGAGCTGAAAAATGGCACAGCTTTGTGACACGTGTCCTGTGCCTTGGAGGTCTATACCGTCTACACGTATGGATCGCTGATTGTCGTTTGTCTTTGCGCGGCTCGCCATGCAGTTATATAAAACGAAGATGTCTGCGCATGAGAGCCTGTAGAGCCGCAAATGCAAGTTGCCTGTGGTGCTCATAGTTGACCTCTTGTCGCCTAAGGCTGCCGCGAAATTGGTGAGCTTGAGGAGTGCGACCTCGCGCTTCTCAGACAAGGAAGCCTCGAGGGCTCATGTGTAGCAGAAAGTAGTGGAGCGAGAATATCCCATGCGAATGGAGCTCATTCAAGATGTGCCATGAATTGGCCAGTTGTATATATAGAATGTGCTCACTACCCGGCGAGGTCCTGATTCTTTTGGGCTGTGCGGGCCGATTAGCCACACGAGGCCTCCTCCTCTTTGGATGCTCGCCCTGCAAAGAAAATATGAATTTTCAGTGTAGTGCATGTGCAGGCTCCTGAACAGCCTTAGCATCAGACTACTGTGTCAGGAGACAGCTTGTTCTCTATGCAGCTGATGCAGATGACCTTTGCCGTGGGCCTGATTGGTGAACTGGCATTCTATGCGTACTGCTTGAAGGTGCTCCCGGGGGAGAGTCAGCGACTGACAGCCGTCTGCCAAGCATCCTACTTGGTCGCCCACACACTGGCAGGATTCTGTGGCGATTGGCTGCTCCATGCTACGGATATAGGATTGGTAGGCTTATTTTGGATCTCGGGCGTCTCGGTTTTGATTGCTTCTGCGATTGCGCTCACATTGCATGACGCCGAGCCGGACACGGACGACGAGTTGCCGGAAGCAAGGGCGCTCCTGCTGGCAGCGTACGGCAGTCGAAACTTCTGGCTGTCTGCGTTATGGTGGATCTGCACCTATCCGCTTTACCAGCTAGTTTACGGCTATGAATCATCCCTCTACGCCGACAATATCCGTGGTCCAGATGCCCGTCATACGTTATTCACTGATGTTCAGTATCCATAGTATGCCAGCATATGCCAGCATAGACCCCTAAGTTTACAGTGAGAGACCATGCAACCCCAGACGTCCAAAAGCCAGACAGCTGAGACAGCTTTGCAGTTGGCGAACACCGACGTGCAACAAAAGCAACCGATGATAGTGTCGAATTTGGCCGACAAGGAATCCGAGCATCTGTTTAATTAATACCCCCACATTCAAAGAAATTTTGTTCGCCGAGAAGCCCGCCGGAAGACTACTTTCCATTACGGTGGATTTCGTATGGGCCAATACCACCACATTTAAAGAAAATGATTTCGGGGAGGTTCCAAAATGTGTCGGCAGGCTTCTTGTTTTGCTTGCTGAGCTGCGAAGCTACAGCACCTCAGGGATCTGCGGCCTATTGTTTTTAATAGAGAATCAATACATGGCCACGGTCTTACTATTGCGGAACCCGGCCTTTCTTATTGCGGTGGGGGGGGGGGGGGGGGGCCCAAATTAAACAGATGCTCGGATGACGTCAAACAGCGACGACCATTTCGAGGACGGCGAGTGCAGCCACGCCCGCGCCTAAGCGCGAGCGCGATTCTCGCCCAAAGCACAAGCGCTTCGAGAACAGCGTGTGGTCCCGGCCGCGCGCGGCGGCCGTGCACGCCGCTCGGCTTCGGCCACGTACACCCGCTCTTACCCTGATAAGACCCCTTAGTGTTGACACACTGTTTGAGGGAGTGGTGAACAAATCATGCAGACATTATACATATATATATATATTTCTATATATACATACACATATTCTGCCATGCATGAGAAAACGTCTAAAGTGCAGAAGAGTCATACGGCACGTTCACCTCCACGCTCGTCTTGCTGCCAAGGACCACAATGGCACGATCTTTGCTGTGGGGCTACTTGCCGGCGCGGCTTCCTCCTCCCTCCTTACACGAGGGGAAGTTGACTCTTAGTTAGAACAGTGACGAATGGAGTCCATTTGTGCCTGGCACAGGGCAGGGAAGTAAAGGAAGTTTGGAGCAGAAGGATGGTAAACACAAATTAGTGAGCAAAAAATGCCAAGCAGGAACGGACCTGCTCGCGAATGCCTGTCGTCATCTTCTTGACGCAAAGCTTTGTGCTTGCGGGCATGGCTGCCACCATGGCATGGGCACCTAGCGTGGAGTGGTCCCTGGGTGCATCCTTCACCGTATTCTTCATGTCATGGAGTTTTGCAAATACCCTCTTCTATGGCGAGACGCGCCGCGCTGTGGATTCTGCGAGCAACCTTCGTGACCTTTGTGGTGAGCACGGTGAAGCCGCTGTTGGGCAAGCTGTGTCTGCACTGTTCCTGCTTAACTCGGCGGCGGGGGCCTTGCTGAACGGGCTAATTTCCCTTGTTCTCTTCAACATACTGGGCAAGACCACTGAGTCTGTTTACAGACTGCTCCCTGCTTAGCTTCATCGGGATCATTTCTAAATTCTGAGCTTCTGTTTCCATGGCATGTTCAAGTCGTTCAGTCGCACGTTAACATACAGGATGCACACAGCTGAGTGTGCTTCGCTCAGGCTGGCTATGATTCAGCTTGGTTTGTCACTGGCTGTTTTGCTGCTGGCCATGTTCTGCACTCAGCCTCTCAGCTCGAGCGGCGAGCTCGGCGAGAGTAGCGAGCAGAGCGAGCGCGGCGAGCACCACCAGCAGCTTGCAGAGTCGCACTCTGACACAAGTTAAGCGCGGCCCCTCGAAGAACTGCGTCGGCATGGACAGTGGTCCTGAAGACCTGAAGATGGATGCCCATTTATGGAGCTCTCCTGCAGCTGACTCAAGCAGCCTTCTCGTCTCCAAAACCTCACGACGTGGCGAATGATGCCTGTGAGCATTCTGCACGCCCGCAAGCTGGTGGTTGCAGAACAATTATAAACAATTGGCCATGGGCCGCTTTTCCGACGAAAAAGTTCACAGCGGGTCCCCAAACGTGTAGGCACAGCTGGTCGAGGGTTCCTGTACGTGGTACATGATGGTTACATGGTACATGACCCAGGATAACAGAATCAGTAGAAACACACCGACATCTCTGCAAATAAAGCACATTGACAGTGACGAGGCGCAGGGTTCATGTCAACAAGCAGCCAACGCGCGAGTTTGTTTCCATCCTAAGGGTCCAAGTAGCAGGGTTGCAGGGTTTGGAAAGAGCATGGATTGCAAATCTCATGCAGGGGCGTCCTTCGCACATATGTCACTCCACTCTACCCCCGCCAAACCAAAGAGGATACAGGTTCATGGCCATACCAACGAGGAAAATCATCGATTGTTGGTTTTTCCCCCTGATTTAGGGGGGGCGGGGGTGTGTTATCGAGAGAAGTGCTTTCTGGAGCTAGGGGGCTACAGCGTCGTCCAAACAATGCCTTTCTTGGGAGTAGGCCTTCGTACCGGTTTTGACCAGTGAAATGGGAATTCGTGGTTTCGGCTTAGGGCTTTTGGGGAGGCTGGGCCTTGAAAGGCCAGGCCCTGCAAACAAAGTGCCGCTTTGAAGAGAGCCCGGTTTCCTGCACCAAGCCCCGAGCCATACAAAGTCAGACACAGGGCCATACACCACAAGCTTCAGTATGTCCGCCAAAAAAGCCAAAAGCTAAGCTTGACCACTTCTCCTGAGGCGCGGCCGCCGGCAGCGCAAGGGCAGGTGCCGTCCGTGAAGGTGGGGAGCATATGGGACGGCTGCTTTAGCGATGCAATTTTGGGGTCGGGCTTCGACCGCTCAGGCCGTTATTACTGCTATTTGCTTTAAAACCCCCAAAGGAACAAGGTGATAATCCCTATATTACCCTTATAAGGAAGAATATCTTTAAGCCAAATGGGCCATATTAGATTTTCCCTCGAATTCACGGAGGCTGCCCCGACTCCGCGAGAGTGAGATGAAGGCGGCATCTCCGAGTTATGGTTTCGGGCTGGGGCCCTGTGAGTCTGTTGCATGTCGCTTGAGAAATCTTACCAGATCCAATGGCACTGCCCTCAAGCCTCAGTCCAGACATCAAAACAGGGCTAGGCAGCGGTGTTTCAGGTGCAGTTCGGGGGCCGGCTGGAAGCAATCTAAGCTCTTCTTGTTTCAACGTGGCCCCATGCTGTACTGCCGCCAGGATCAAGATGGCTTGCGTGCCTGCTGAAAGTGAGTCCACAGTGATGAAATTCCGCCGAGTATGGCCTAGCCTAGCTTTTTATCTGAGACATTGGGTGGAGCTCGCATGTGCTATGAGCTTCACAACGTCCACATGTGGGAACCTGCCACGAAGAGGCATTATCAGCTTGGCTTGTTGATTCGCGCAGCGACGTTCCACCCGATCCTCGCAGAGAAGAACCCCACTAGAGGTGGTTTTTTTCCTGAGGGAAGTCGAGACTTTGGATTGTTTGACCAGCTTCGCTGGCCCCTTAAAAAGGGTAGCCAGCTTCCAGCTCCAGCCGAATCACCTCATCGGCTTTAAGATGTGTGTGTGTGTGTGTGCGCATGTTGCGCCCCCATCCTCTAGACTGCATTTCGACTTCAGGCCTTCTAGAGCATCACGGAAACCCTTCGAAAGCACGCGAACGCTTGGTGTTCTCTGAACCCTTGCCTTGTTCAGCGGCTGAGTGCCCCATGTTCGCTTCAATTTTGTGATGGTCCAGGCAGTTGAAATCACGGAGGCCTATCCTTTTCATCTCTGGACCTTGATATCAGGAAGGCGACATGATTCGTTGACAAGTGATCTTGGTTGCATCTCTGGCCTGGATCAGACCCTTCCGCAAGCAGCTGCGACGTCACGGCTGACTTGCTTCAGACTCGAGAGTCACGCGCTTGAGCATGGATTGCACTGACACACTGACACACCCTTTCACTCATGGAGCACAGAAGAACACCACGCTAGCAGCACCATCTAGTGCAGCGGGTTCGTCATTTATATGTAGGTATTACCTAAAGTAGTCGTTGTGGGTGCGACCTGGCGCCAGGGGCAAGCTTCGGGTTGTCGTTCGTAAAAAGCAGCTCCTGACGATGACATCATAAAACCTCGCACTCTGTGACCTTCTCATCATGAAAAGAAACATGCCCAGCCAACTTGCGGGACATAGAGTCTGGGATTGATTAGCAGACGGTGCCTCCGAAGGTGAGGTTGAGACAACTGTCATGCTGTGGACCAAAGCGTGTCTTCAGACGACAACGGAAAGGAAGCAAGCGTGGTCTGAGTGAGGTGCGACAAATGTGCGATGTGGGACCGTGGCGTGAGTTTGAATGCAATTTGACAGCCAACCCATGGACAGCACATGTAGAACTGGAAGTGGGAACCTTGCCCATGAGCTTCAGGGCGTTGGCTGACGAACATAGGATCCGTGCAAACATCCTGGCACGTCTATAGTTATCTGTTTTTTCGGTTGCTGAAAGTTCTTGGCTTTCTATGCCTGTGAGCCGCTACTTTCTGCCCCTCTCTCAAGCGCGCACGGCATGGAGACAGGAGACATGTCAAAGGACTAGAAGTTGAACCTGCACCTCCAATTCATCTTCAGCATGTCGTTGAATGAAATACGTCACAGAGGGAGGCATGGCACCTGAGCTGCCATGTGAATGGCATCATGACAGTTGCAGATCACAAGAAGCCAGCTCTCCACCTGCTTCATGGCTACCCAGTGGCGTGCTCTATCGGTCCACAACGGCCTGCTGGTTATGGGTTTTTATGGTTCAGCTGGGAAGCGGACATTGTAGACCCTGTAGTAGAGTAGGTAACCTTGAACCGTTTTGGGGTAATTAGTATAATCCCCTTATAACTGTAACCCCACAGGTTAACCTTTAATGCCCCCTGGTTAGTGGAAAACTCAGCAGAGGGAGACCACGACTGCGCCCGTGTTCATGGCGGCATGGCTGCGCACGCCATACCTTGCTGCTGCTTGGTACCCTCCGAAGCCGCCGGCCTCATCATCGGCCCGGGGGCCTGTGAGGAGAGTAAGGGTACCCCCTATGGGTTTAGGGGTTTAGGATTTAGGGTTTAGGGTCCGATGTATCTTTTCTTACCCAAGCTTAACTGTTACTGTTACGATGCGTTCGTGGTCTTTGCAGTTGTGAGGCCGAGCCGGGAGCGTCGTCAGAAACATCTGCGAAGTCTCTGGTGCACAAGTGATATTCGGAGGCAATGGCATTGAAGGGTCGCCAGGTAGCTGCTGGGTGGCTGCCGGGTTGCTTTGAACTGGTGTTGTGGCATGTGATTGTGGCTTGCGCTCTCAGGAATGTGTCCGGTGAACGGGATACACCTCGCGCACTGACTGATCGAGCCTCCCATGACTTGAGAATCTTTTGGAGATCGTCAGCTGTAGCTAGCCATGTGTCAAGAGCAGCCTTGTGCTAGTGTGGCAGGCCAGACTTTAGTTCTTGAAGCTTGTCGATATCTTGCCGTGCAGGATTGAGACAAGGCATCGATGCCCATGCAGGTATGATAATAACCGACTCACTGAGTTGCCCTGCATGAGACCATGAAAGCCTGCCATACTACCAGCCAGCCGTCCCAGGAATCGTTACAATTCAGGGCGAACCTGAGCAGATCGAAAAAGCCTGCCGAGAGGTGGGACAGGCTTTGCAAATACGGTTAGTAGAGGCAGTATTATCCTACTTATGGGGGTTCCCATTTTTATCCCCTCTAATTTGAGTTCAGGGTGTTGTTTTTGGGTCCATGCTGGCCGGCATTCTGGGATGCAGAGTGTGGCAGACTGTCATTTCTCCATGTGACGCATATACGCAGCCAATGCACAACTCAGCATGTGCCTCACCACTTCTTGCGTGACCCGACAGGTCATTCGAATAGTTCACCGATCGCAAGAGTTGGACGATTCCGAGGATGGTGTGTTTGTTGGGGGCCCAATGAACTGGCGGCATGTGCGGCAGTACTTATTTTACCCAAATTGCAATTTGATTGACACGTGAGGGTGTTCCAAAGCGTCCCACTTTCAGATCTTCGGCGAGTGAGTTGTTTCAGCACGGCTCTTCAAATCACCAAAGAGTTGCCAAGGTCACTGTGGTTCCAGCTGGTGCTGCCTTTGGCCAGCAAGCTGGGACAGGATTCTCCACGTTGTCGCGCGGACTAGGCCTAGGTAAGGTAAGACGTTGCCCTGTGAGAGCAGTCGGGCATCTCGGGCCCGAAAGCGAGTCAGGTCGAGCACATCATTGGACCTGGCGGTGATACAATCGAGAAGCTCGTGGAAAGCACGGCTTCGGAGATCAACATCAGCTCCCAGACAGCATGTCTGAAGGGTTGAGTTTTCGCAATGTGGTGGCTACCACTCCATCGAATTTCAACCAGACATGAAGACCGAGTAGTGACCGAGCCTCTGCAGTAGGTTGCGATTCCAGTCCCGATGCTCGTGCCACGTCCGCTCAATTGGATCCCTAGGCCGCCATGCGATTGCGGGTACCGAGCTTCAGCCCGTGAGCATCGCAGGTGGCACGATGCTATGTAGCTGTTTTCAAGCCTGCCTGTCGTTCCAAGATAGCAGCCGTTTTTTGGTCCGGCATACGTGCGGTGACATGCAGTCAACACTGCCGATGTTTCGAAATATTTTCGGCGAGAAGCTGCCAGGCATTCCCAAGAACATGCTCACTGCTTGCATGAGGGTGCTGGGCCTTGTTCAGGACTCCGCGCAGCTTCCATAAACAAAAGAAGTACACACGGTTGCTTCCACTGGAAGCCAAGAGAAAGATAGTCGATACCTGGCAAGGCCTTCGGTTGATGTTGGTGGCTTGTGCATCCCACAAAAGGAGCTCGCCGATCAAGGTGGCCTTACGATCGAGCGAGGGCCTTAGCCGACATGCGATGAGTACATAAGCGACGAAAAGACATTCGTGATGATGTGACCATAGAAGCAGCAACAGTGCAGCTACCGGACTGTCAATACGGCCGCATCAGGGCAGGCTGAGTCTCCTTGCTTTTTGCGCGTTCCCCCACCACTTGCATCTGTCTCAGCTCTTCGACTTGGCCCCCACGGCGCACCCCAAGCTTGGGGCAGCTGCGAAGCGTTTCGCGGACCGTCTCCAGGAGATGTAGTCGCAGTAGTCTGTGAATTCTGAACGTGGATACCTTAAGTTACCTTACCAACAGTTACTTTCAAGCCATCCTTGATAGAGGAATCGTGTCCACAGCCAGAACGTTCAGAAAAGCGCACAACAATGGATCAATCGTGATGCGTTGGCGGCCTTGTTGCTTATGCAAAAGTGAATGCTCAACAAGTCATGGCTTGCACCTTGGCAGCTCGCAAAGCTTTTCCGGAGGAGCTCGACTCCGGTGCGAGGTGCTGGCCTTGATTCGGAGGGAGTGAAGACGAGAAATCCTGTTGTCATATTGTGTTGTCCTTTTCACTACATTCAAAACAAGGTTTATTAGGCCTAGATGGCGTTGATGGCTTAGTTCGGGTGCGCTGTCTGTAAAGCGAATCAAGCTGATTGGTGTTCCCCGTGCTTTCCCGTGGGAGTCAACCTTTTGAAGAGTCCCAATGGCACGGAAATTCTAGGAAGCTGCAGTCAACAAAGCGTGTGAGTTGGAGGGCTTCGTGCTCCGTCATCTTTGTCATGTGTGCCTGGCTGGTTCTCAGTAAGGAATGAGGGACTCGGGCCCTGAATAACCACTTAAAATGGCATATTCCCTCGTTCCCTACTGAGAGCCATGGGGTTGGGCTTACCTGTTGTAAATTGCCATGTCTGTGTTTGCCCCCCTAAACCCTAAACCCTAAGCAGGTGCTGGGCAGGTGGCCAAGAAAGAAACACCCTGCTTTGCGGTTCGGCCAGTTAGGCGGGAGCGAAAAAACCTGAAACCCTATAAACCCTATAAACCTTATAAACCCTATAAACCCTATAAACCCTATAAACTCTATAAACCCTATAAACCCTATAAACCCTATAAATCCTAT